TGACATCTTATTTTGGCAAAGATAAGATATACCAAATAGATGATTTGAATGCATAACAATAACATACATTTCAAGTGTAGTATGATTATCATGGAAGATTAAATGGTGCAATCATTTCAAGCTAGCATTTTAAACTACTGGTTTTTTAATTTCCTGCATTTATATTTTAAACCTATCTCTATCTCTTTCCTGCATTTGTTTCTTTTCATTGCTTGGCACTGATAGAATCCTCTTTGTATGAAACATTAACTCAAATCAAACTCTTATAATACTCATTATGTATGCTTTGTATTTATTAAGTTGATATATCAAATGAAATTTCAATATTTGGCTCCTCTTATTTCATCTATAGCTAGGAATATCCATAACTCCTCAGCTTTCACTATGTTGTAAAATTAGTTAATTTTTGTTGATGTTATATAACATTATTCACTGTATATCTACATGTATGTACTTTTAATGCCCTGCATTTTCCAGTAAAATGGAATTGTCCTGGGCTATTGTTCTCCTTTGTTGTGCAAGTTTGAACAATAAAGTGATGTTTAAAAAAATATAAAAAAGGAAAATATTGATTGATACATTAAAAAGACAAAAGTATACTCCATATCACAGAATAGTTGCTAATACTTCGTTGATACTTAAATTAGAGTAAAATAAGTGATATTGTAGTCTCTTGTAAAGCTATGGTCAAATGAAATAGGACTAATCAGAATCAAGGATTAAAATTTCAAGATTTTTTTCATAAAACAATAATCAGTAAAAACTATCTTATAAAATCAAACAGAAGTCATACAAGTTTAAATTCACAATACAGAAATAAAACTTATTCCACTATTCATCATTGTAGATGTAAAAACATATACTATGTGTATACCACACAAAACAAAAATATACAAAGTAAGAAACCAAAAAATATATTCTTTAATAGAAATACTGGTATAAAGTACCCAAGAAGTAAAATGTTATAATTTCACCTCAAATATGTATAAAAATCAATTTAGATGGTAAAATACTATTATAGGCAAAATAATACTTTCAAATCATGTATATATATTCTCCACTTTTCTGAAAATATTTCTAGATAAAAAAAAAACTTGATATTTGATTGATGATAAGGCACTATGCGCTGAAGATATACATTTGGAAGACTTTTTTTTTTAATTTGTAAGTTTCAAAATTTCAGTTTTCACCCGTTTTTATTTACTGCTGGTTATAAATGCAGCTTTTCACGTTTCCACATGATGTATCACTCGTTCATGTACATCATTTCATTTCCTTCATATATGCAAGTTTCCATGTACATTCGGTTAAACACACACACAAGATAAAAGGCATACTCAATCATTAAAAGAAGCATCATGTAATGTTTCTTACCTGAATGTTTGTTAACCTATCAATTAGCAGCATAATTAAAACTTGAAATTTAGAAAAGTTTAAAAAACATTAAAGGTGTCTATCGATAGTCAACAAGCTTATGTAAACAAATACATGCCACTTAATTTACCTCATTAAACAATGTTTTCATTTTGAATCTGTCAAGTTTTGATATGCAAACAGCAGGTGTAAGTGATCTGGATTTATCACCAGTCTTTCCACCAATCGCAAACTGTAAAGCGATACTGAACTGATGAACTTTCTGCCCGAGCATACTGTTTATTCCACAGTGCCATCTCATGGTCAACTTGCCGACAGTGCGGAGACCAATACCCAATTCGCATTTCGCAGACAGAGGATTCGACGTGAGAACCAACAGCGCAGTTTGGGAAACAGTCAGTTACGGAACCATCCGCTGCAGCTGACCTGAGATGGCGCTAGATGGCTTTTTGCGATAGTGCTTCTAGTTTAGTATGGCTTTAAACATAGGCACTTATGTAATGAATAAACTGTTCAAGCTATGTTAAGACCGACAGAAGTACAAGTTAAGTACCAGGAAATGTCACACACTTACTTTGTGTACAAAACATTAGTAAACCAAAAAATTAAGTCACAATAATTCTGGATTCCATTTTTTGTGGCAATGGAAATAGGGATGAAAATCTTAGAAGGCTTGAAATACTAAGAAATAAGAGAGAACACCTCATAATTGTTTTACACTTATTTGATAAGTGCATTATATGATAGGTAGGATAAGAAAATAAGCATAGTGAAGTATCTCTACATGATTATTTTGATAAATGCACTAAATAGGAGAAAATATTAATTTGCCCTTAAAACGTGAGCTGCTCAATGTAGGTTTAAAAGTGCAAATACTTCTATTTTGGCCACTAAGCATATATACCCAGAATTATAAAGAAAAAAAAGGCATGTATTCAGTCAAAACACATACAAATCTGTGCAATTTTCCTGACTACAGCTCATTATGTATTCATCAGTTCATCAAAAAAATATCGCTAATCAGACAAGACGTTCGTTGAGTAGGCATGATAATGTCTTAAATGCTGTATTCATATAGTATTGCCCTGGGTAATTCTTAGGTTGCGTCCAAGCGATTTTTGAAGCTAGAATCACAAAATGAATGACAAATCAAAACGCTGTTACTGCGGGAGAGCGTTCAAGCGATTTTACATCAACACTGATTCTCGCTCATTTCAAGCCCAGCCACTGCTCATCAAACTGTGCACTTTGACCCAGGAAGTATAGGTCAACTTCGCTGCGTGCTTTCTGAATTTGTTTACGGTCTACTGTTGGCCAAAGGGAAGCAGGCCACGATAATGATGTGATAGAATTATGATTGAGATCTCTGTTTCGTTCCAGCAATTTTTGGCGACCTTGATTCAAAATGCATTTTTACGACCGACCAAAAAAAAATAGCTTGAAATCGCTTAAACGCAACCGTGTTTTAAACTAAACATCTTTGAAAAAGCGTGTTTCTAGGGTGAAAAAGTGTCGCTTGAACGCAACCTTACAGAACAAGTTTACAGTTGATGTGTTCGACCTGAGGTCCTTGCAGAAGTGATCGATCAATCCTCAGGTTCATGCTTTCCACCACGATTTCTTCTTTTCTTTGGACTTCTTGTTCCTGGATGATGGGGGGAAGGGCGGAGGAGATATGGACAGAACGAGAGACTAGATTGAGACAAACTACCACACGCTGTTAAGAAAAACACCTACAGTCTAGTATCTAGACTACTGATGGATTAGCAGTTTAATACAATAAATGAAAATTAAATGAAAGAAGGATGGAAATTGAATTGATTGGATTAAAAGGAAAAGAGAAAGTGGATGAGATAGATCAGGACAGAAGATGAAATAAAGAGTGAAAAAAAAGAAGATAGACATGAATCAACCAGCAAGAGGAGATTGGAAGGAAAGAGAGCAAATGGTAGCAAGAATAGAGGGGCAAAGGGGCCGGAAGAGGGTTGATAAGATGAGAGAAAATGACATGAATGTGGACAGATGGGGACAGAGAGATGTAATAGAGGTGAGGAGAGTTGGGGGATAAAGAAAAGGGAAATAAATCAAGGCTAAGGTGATCAAGATATTTGGATACAAGAAATGGGTGAGATATGAGACATTAGAAACAGAATATAAAGAGTGATTACATAGAAGGTGAGAATGGAGGATGCCGTGAGATGCCAACAAAGAATGTAAGGTTATAAAAGGAAGTATGAACAAGGTTGAAATTGAAAATCATGAGATGATGGAAGGATAGAAGAGAAAGAAAGAGGAGAAAAGGGGGAGATAAGACAGAATTGAATTAAGCATTGTATATGAAGTAATGCACCAATCTACCCCACATGTAAGAATGTAATGGCATGCACATTAACAAGACTCGGGTAATATTTCGTGTAAGATGTTACTTGTATACAAGACATGTTAAAACCACATGTAAACATGACAATAAAGCTTCTGCTTTTTCATGCTAAGTTATATGCATCTACAATACATGCTTCTGCTAGAATGAATGAATGAACGGCTTCTCATTACTATTATTATTATTATCATTATTTTACTATCATGTTAATTTATCATGTTAATTTATCACAGCCTTCCTGCTCCCTCACACGAAAAAGGTATATCAAATTAATGATATGCGATATATACACTGTACATGTACATCCCAATACTATAGCATGAAAATGGTTACAAGTACACATATATATAACTAACTACAATCATACATTTTAAAGGTTCATTTCGAGGCTCATTTCGAGGCTCATTTCGAGGTTCATTTCGAGCCCCAATTGTTGACTTTCGTATTATCCACGGAGATAATGGCACTTCCGTAAGATTCGTTTTAATAGTGCTTCATTGCACGAGGGTATAAAGACTAGTGAAATCTTGGGGCCTGGCTTTCAAAGAATGACAGAGTATATAACGTATGGGGAAGTAAAAGAGTGCTTTAAAGAAAGTCGATATCAGGGACTGGTCAAGGACCACCTTAAGTGTTGTAAAAGTCAAGGTAAAGGCCATTGCAGACAGGATTTTATAAAAAGAATATAGGCAGAAGCGAAGACATGAAAAGAAAGAGAGAGGGAGAAAGAGAGAGAGAGAAAAAAGAGAGAGAAACAAAGAGAGGAAAAGAAGGAGAGAGAGTGAGAGGAGAGAGAGAGAGAGAAAAAAAAGAGAGCAAGAGAGAGAAAGAAGGAGAGAGAAAGTGAGAGGAGAGAGAGAGAAGAAGTGAGAGAGTGAGAGGAAAGAGAGAAAGAGAGAGTGAGAGGAGAGAGAGAGAGGAGAAAGAGAGAGAGAGAGAAAGAAAGAGAGAGAGAGAGGAAAGAGAGAGAGAAAGAAAGAGAGAGAGAGAAATAAAAAGAGAAAGAGAGAGAGAAGAAGTGAGAGAGAGAAAGAGAGAGAGATAAAGAGAAAGAGAAAGGGAGAGGATTGACAGAAGATGAAAGTGTTTAGAAACAACACTCTCTTAAATCAGTGTTTCATGAAAGTCCAGAAGTTTGAATTTTTAAATATTTTTTTAATTGATATCTGACAAGACCAACACCTGAATTTAAAAAAGTCAAATATTCAATGTGCAAGAGTCGTGAAAAGGTCATGTACGCTTCAAAGAAATTCAGAAGCTTGCACAAAAACCCTGTGCACATCAATAACTACACTTTAAATATCAGGAACATTTCAAACTCTGTGGTGCCCCCTCTAATCTTTCTGACAGGTCAATGTAGTCACGCATATGAGAGGATTCACGGACTGCGCCTCTGTAATCAATAATGTTTACCTTAGAGGACAAAAATAAAAGGTTTTCTTGTTTCTCAACTAGCATATTGTCTGTTCAGAGCCAGAAGGGTATTAGCATTGCGCTCAAAAATATATGAGTTAATGCCCTTCTGGTTCCAAACAGAGGATTTCATCAATGTTGTCACTGCAAAAACAAATTAGTTTTATCATGTCACTTTTTGTTTCATGTACCAGTGAAGCACATGATTGAATCAAGCCTGCAACAAGTTGAGTGATTAAATTTCTGATCGACTTAACACTAATCATGGATATGTTTCATGAGAGATGACAGCTAGCGTAGAGGCAATTTCATTAAAGTGAACCGGTAACATTGTTGAAGGTTGATGGAAAAAAATGGAATTTTTGTATGAAATGTTATTATATTCCTTCTACTGTACTAACCCTCTAACATTCACAAATTCCTGAAAAAATTCTCAAACCACAAAGATATTTATGGTTTTCTTTGCAGGTGTCAATGTGTAACCCCCTCTACCAGTAAATTCTCCCAACCAATTTTGGAATTTTCCCAACCCTTTTTCCATGAAAATAAAACAGGCTTTTTAAAATCTGTCAACACTGAAATGATTGGAATGGTATACACATGCAGAGCAAATTCACTGCCTTGTGACGATTTACATTCTCCTAAAATTTAATAAAATTATTATAATATAGTTGGGAGAATTTAGGAAATGATCAGATCAGTTTTTCAAAATTGGTATCATTAATAATGGTCTGTTTTCATTCAAACTTTGAGATTATCTTTAAGTGTACATCTAGCATTGAAGTCGCTACCTTAGCACCATTTTTTCTCATCTGAACAATGTTACCAAGTCCCTTTAAAGATGAAGTTTACTACTGGTCATGAGATGGCATCTAGAAGGGTTTAAGATGATTATTAGATTTTAAACCTAACTGCAGGTCGGTAAATTATTGAATATGTTATAAATATCCATCTCTTATACCACCAAATTGTTAATTTTAACCACAGATTCATGCCTTTGCCGATATCGTGGATGATTTAATTGTTTTTATTTTGGTACACCCTCCACCAAATTTCATAACAGACAATAGGGAACCAGAAACAAGCGAGATATGAGAGTGAGAGAGAATGAATGTCAGACATGTCAGAACAACACACACAAACATACCTTAAAACACTTTAGTTGGATATTTTATTAGACAATGATATTCAAATTTACCTTTCAACAAAATGTTTCCAAGTTGTAGGGCTCGATGTCTGACCTAAAGGAGCAAAAGTATGGGTCGGGTTTTCGGAAAGATCGTATACAATGCAGGAACTGTACACACAAAAGAGCATGAGCCTGAATTCTGCATGTTTTAGGGGAAATGACCCGACCTGGAAATACTTGCTGTGATTCTCGCGTAATTTCGAAATGGCTTTTGGGAGAGGGAGGTGGAGGAAAGATGATGATTTGAAAAGATTTTGATCATCATGTAGTTAGAAGCATACTGGAAGGAATTGAAAGAGAGAGAGATAGAGAGAGAGAGAGAGAAAGAGGGAGATAGAGAGAGAGAAAGAGAGAGAGAGAGAGAGAGAGAGAGAGAAAAGAGAGAGAGACAGAGACAGAGACAGAGACAGACAGAGGAGTGGGGAGGTGAAAGAAGAAATGGGGGGGGGGGTAGGGATGGGGCAGGGATATGGAGAAAAATAAATTGGGGGATATGGCTGCTGGTGCTTAGAGGATAATGAAGAATAAGGAAAGTCAAGAAGAAGAAAACAAACGTAGAAGAAAAAGAAGAAAAAAGAATAAGAAAAAGAAAGAGGAGTTCGGCTGAAGTGAAAGAGAGATGAAGAAGGAGGATACTGAGAAGTAGAATAAGACAAAGAAAACAAAGAAGGAGAAGGAGAAAAAGGAGGAGAAAAAGAAGGAGAAGAAGAAAAGGGAATCAAAGGAGAAGAAATGGATAAAAAGAAAGAGGAAAAAATAGTAGTAGAAGAGGAAGAAGTGAAAAAAAAATAAAAGAAGGTCAATCCTCTCTGTTTTAAGACCAAGTTAACCTAGTCTGCAAGCACAGACCCTAATGTGACACTTTATAAAAAAGCATTGTGCCTTGAGAGAAGCCTAGCCCAGCTACCTACTGGTTGTGTGTCAGGAGCAGCTACAGTGCATGGCCTATTGGTAGTCTTATAGTGCAGACTCACTTTTACGACTGACCAGGATTTGTGCTTGCAGGCTAAAGTTAACCCTAAAATGGCAGGTTCTGCTCCCCCCCCCCCCCCCCTAAAAAAGGTGAGATCATCAAGAAGCCTCGTTTCTTTAGGGTTCAAGGGGACATCATAGGGCAAATTTGCAAAACACTCTATTTGATTTCACAAAAAGTTAAGGCAACTATACCTTAAGGTCTTCTATACTGAGTAAACCTTTTAAAATCCTGTTACTACATCAGAGAATCTGATAATAGTAATAATAATAATCCGTTTTTGTATATAGCGCTCAATAGACCGATCCAACGATGTGCCTAAGCGCTTTACAGATATAACATGTAAGAATGGAAAGATGACTACTTACGTGCTCTCCATTATGACCTCCATTTTCTTCTTCAGCGTGGCCTGGTATATTGAGTATCTGGGAAAGAGAAAGCAAAGAAACATTTCATCAAAAATTAATTGTGATATCCAAATTGTATAAGACAAGAACAGGAAGGGAAATTACAGAAATAAAGGGAGGGGAGAGAGAGAGGGAGTGGAGAGAAAGGGGTGGAGAGAGGAAGGGGATAGAGAGAGAGAGAGAGAGAGAGAGAGAGTGGGTGAGAGAGAGATAGACAGATAGAGAGAGAGAGAGAGAAAGAGAGAGAAAGAGAGAGAGGGGGGGGGGGGGGGGGGGGGGGGAGGGGGTGGGAGAGAAGGAGGGGGAGAAGAGCTAGAGACACAAGGAGATGAAAAGAGACTGATCAAATTCTTGTCTCGGTATTTTTCGTTTCCTTCTCTGTATTCAGACCCCTTCCCCTCGTCTTTTCCCCTCTAACATTTCCAATTCACTTTCTTTCCATCAAGTCAACATTCAATCCATAATCAATTCAATAAGATACAACCCAATCAAATTTGTCCCAACATCACACAAATCTCTCCCAGACTAATTGATGACAACAAACAAAGAGATAGAAAAGAAACGAAAGCAGAGGGGAAGAATTTCGTATAATCCTGGCTTCTCAAGGTTGAAAAATCCCACACACTTTTACCAGAGCATGCAGTCAACTTAAATACATGTACGACCATCAAGTTCACAAATGTAATTAGAGAGAGAGAGAGAGAGAGAGAGAGACGCTTTTTAACTGTATATTGCATTTTGTTCTATGGTCATTTGGACACGAGCATCATCTTGATAAATCAACTAATAGCATAATACTGTTTCGATCTATGATGGTGCAATTAATTTTGAGTGCTGACCATGCAAATACGATTGCATTGATTGATTTTTTTTGTTGTACTTTGAATTTGGCACTCGCTTCATCAAGCCTGGGAAAGAAGGGGGTGGGGTGAAGTCGTACTGTTTCAAACTTTATGTAATAATTGTTTTAAAGACCATATCCGAACTGAAAAATGAAATGGATCAATCATATATCAATAGAAAGCTAAATGCCATAGATTACATTAACATCAATTTATGCTATTTTAGTGTCTGTCAGAGGAGTATCAGCTCTCTGAAAGCTCAAAATCTAAAGCTTTGAAAATCAAAAGTTGTCGACCTAAAAACTGGCTATCGACATGATGACATCATCTTATGTGGAGTACGCATATTCACAATGACTTTGCATTACTTAAGCACATCGCCTCAGCTATATAGGTGAACCGATGGGGTCCACATGTTAAGTCGTCACTGTAACTTCAGCAAATTTGACCCCTGTTGACCCGTAATTTGGAGGGGTGCAGAAAATGAGGTTTTAATTTGCTTTTGTGCAATAATGAAAGGGTAAATACTTGTATTCATTTATATTTGTATTCTACATTCATTCAGTTTTCCATTTATATCAAGTTGTATTTTTATCGGATAGGATCTTTAATATTGATATGTATTGATTGCAACATTTTGCACACATCTCTATAATCTGCCATTCTAATACTGCTCCTTTTTGTTTCTGGGCTTCAATCTCGGTTTAGCACCTTCTACTTTTCTTTCTAACAAATCTTGGCAGCATATCTGTCCAACCAAATTGCATTTTCATACTGGTATTCCATAGTAGCTCCTACCCAATTTAAAGTTATATTTTAACTGTCAAATAAAATAACATAGGTTTTATAAACATTCACGCTGCATATTTCACGCATACAACTTTAACAAGAATGCAACAGTTCAGAGATTGATATAAAATGAAAGATAAAATCTGATATAAGAAGCAATTTCTAAAAAAAAATGTTCATTTTAAATGAGATAAATTATTTTGGAGATAAAATCGTGCTCAAAATATCACCCCGGTGGTCATTTCAAAAGAACAGTGGAGAAAATGCATTGTCTATAGATGCATACCAAATATCAAAATCCTGGGAATAAATTATACTCCTAAATCATATGTGTAGTATGCAGAGAATCTTAAAAGGACATGTATTTAACAGACAATAAAAAAAAAAAAACATAGATAAGAAAATATATACTCTCCATTTTGTGACCTTGCGTAATACAAAGTACATGTACACTGTACACTGTAGTTAGCTAATTAATTAAGTTATATCATACATACAATTGATTAGAAGTCAAAGGTCTGTAAATATAATGAGATCAAAACTAACTCTCCATCATCATGCAAACTTTGAGTGTTTCAATGCGAATCTAATTACATTACAGAATTCAATAGCCATTGATTATTTGGACAAAGCCTATTCTTTGGCCATTCAAAAGGGAAGTATCAAAAGAATATTTCATTTGAGCAAGCACTTTCCTCCTTTCATAATTTCCTAAATTACCACGTCCTGTAAAAATCAATTTCAATTATAGCAGCCGTAGTTTACTGGACTCTGGAATGTAAATATACAATCTTCACCTTTCACCTTTTCTGAAGGTTACACTAGCACTTCGTTTTCTGATATTATTTTTCTTTTTCTGAAAGACTTAGTTCTTGTTCTCATTACTCTTGATATTCTTGTCGCTACGATTAGACATAAAACTAAATTATGTTTTAAAATGACAGGGTTCATAAAGGAAATTATGAAATGTATGTTACCCTGAAGAGAAAAGATTCATATACAATTATGATATACTGTACATAAAAACTATCTACCATTCATGCATTTATATTAGAGAGAGAGAGAGAGAGAGAGAGAGAGAGAGAGAGAGGATTCTCTTCTGCAGGATTTGTTATAAAAAAGAAGAACAAAATATGACTTTTTTGCTGAGCAACCAAAATTCTGAAAGCATCCTGAAATCAATACGGAAAATAGAAATGTTCTGCAAGAGCACATATATCGATAATACACCTACAAATGTAGCGGAATACTTAAAGAATAAACAGAGAGAGAAGAAACGTACACAGACGCACTGCATTAGCACATTTGGATGAAAGGCGCTGACTGTGTAAACGTGTCTGAGAAAATACTCAATAAATATTGATTTGAAGGGAATGAATCGGGGAAAACGTGAGCTAGCAGTTCAAGCTTTCATGATTTATCATTTGCTGGAGTAGAAAATTATGTCAATCTAATTAAACGCTATTCTGACTTGGGAATTTTAAGATACCATTTCAGTTCTTATTTACAGAACATGTACTGTACATACGACCAGGCTTCTGGCCAGGGGTTTGTTTACCCTCTGTTCTCATTGAGAGGGAAAAATCCTATGCACAGCATCTCGACATTCCAGACAATATCGCCCAAAACATGTGTCAGGAATGGACTATTTTTTATCAAATCGCATGCACAAATCTTTGTGAAGTGCCTCACTTAAAGTTATTTCATTAACCTGTTACGAATGACTGCGTTTCTATAGTAAAAGCAAAATACATTCTGTGTTGTTAGGTAGGACAAGCCATAATATTTGTCCTACCTAGCAACAATTATTGTATGCAATTCACTTTCTGATTATTGAAAACAATTATTATGAAAACAGGTGAATAAAATAGTTTGTAACATGGCACTTAACCATCTCCCAGAAAATGCAACTGCATATACATGTACATGTACATGAGCAATACAGTCAAATGGAATTCAATAACTGTGACACAAAACACATATCCACTAAGTTTTTTCATAATCTTCTGGTTTATGAATAACTAAACTACAAATAAAAAAGTTTCACTCTTTCTTTCCGCTTTTCAATGCTCAATCCTCAATGCCCCCTTTTATGGTCTCTATAAATAAGGTAAGAAACACCAATTAAGGGAGGCCCAATGACTAGGTTTTTTTTTAAATACTACATTAAATCATTAATATAAATATATTTAAAAAAAGAAATATAATGCCTTCATTGTATCCCCGCTATTTCACAATGCTGTCATACTACATTGATTATTTTCCGGTTATAGATTTCCAGATAAAGAAGGGGGAAAAAAAGGATCAAACAAAACGGATGAGAGAGGGCAGCATTTCAAAAAATGACATTAGTAACCTAAATACCAAGGAACTTTGTACTTTGTACATCCAAAGTAAGAATACATCATTTTGCTTTTTTTTTTTAGCTACAGAACTTGAAAATCTCAATAAAAAAAAAAAATATATAAACTTGCAAAAGATCACATGACTCAGTAAGTTTGTCTAATTTTTGTATTAATTTGGTATCAAGATGATATTCAAGACACAACAAAGAAGTTAAAAAAATGGCAACTCTGATTATATCCTAGTCATATCCACAAGACTGACACAATAGACCATACAAAAATGATATTGCCACAAATGGTCAAGAGTTTGTGACCACTGGTTGATCTGGGGGGTGTTTCACAAAACTTGTCATCAGTGTCAAATAGCAGTTTTTGTTATAAGCTACTGAAATGCTTGCTTCTGATTGGTTATCAGCATATTTTTTCCTGGTTTTTGTCATTTGTCATTGAAGAAAGGCTTTGTAAAATGGGTCCCTGGAGTTGGTTTGGCAGAGTGACTGGAGCATGATAATCATAATAATAATATTCCGCATTTATATAGCGCTTAATAATACATCAATGATGTCTCTTACCGCTCTACAGATACATTCTTACCCCTATCACTAGATTCAGGATTGCCCGCACACAATGTATGCACACTCTCCACTCCCTGAGAGCATTCCAACCAGGTGCCATTTTACAGAGGCTCACAATGTGAGCAAACTACATAAACGTTTACATCATACTGGGTTCCCCTGGGTAGAGAGTGGCAAATGTAGATGAACGTCTTGGCAAAGGATGTTAGTGCCGGGCTTGGATTCGGAATCCGTACCTTGTGATCTACAGTCCAGTATAAATCCACTAGATTACAACACCTCTACAAATGTTGTACATGCAAAGGTGTACAGATATATAGATGTATTCTTATACTCACTTCTTTCTTATCTCCTCAATCTCTTTGTTCTCCTCCTCTTTGAACTTCTTTAGGATGCCTCCCAGGACTGTGATAGGTAAGTTGACGTACTGGGCGACCTGCAAAGCAGTACAAAAATAGAGAGGATGATTGATTAATTGGTTGATTGGCTGACTGCCTCTCCCTCTCCCTCTCTAAGTGCCATATCGATTGACATTGGCGATCATGCTGTTCCACAACCCTCGGTTCCTAGCCTTCTCTATTAGCACCACTCCCAGTTCTTTCACTCCTCTCTCTCTTCCAACAATTTCTGCAGACTGTCCATTCAAAGTATCCTCCTTCTTCCCCTTCTCCTCCTTCCCACAATTTTCCCTGTCAAAGCAAGATTCTCCAGGCCTTCTTTATGTGTAATGTGACCCATGAACTTCAACTGCCTAATCAACATCTCACGTATCATTTTCCTTTGCACTCCAGCTTTTCTAAGTCAAAGAACTTCCTCATTACTAACTTTGTCAGTCCAAGGAATTTTCGTCATTGACTGACTGATGAACTGATTGAGGGATCGATTGATAAATTGATTGTATTCTTTAGAAGAATGGCTTGCAGGCCTAGCTAGCAATGGTAGGTTGACAAAATCGGCAACCTGTCCAGGGAAATATGAACATCAATTGATTGATAGACAGACGGATTGGTTCGTCTTTAGGACACTGGTTTGGAGGATTGAGAAGGGAAGGTAGATGACACACAAAATGGTAGAAGACTGACTGGTTGGTAGATTGATTAATTGAAAACTTCAGGAGAATTGCATGCAGACCTTGAAAATTGTTTTACTACGCAATGCCACCTGTGTTATGACAAAGAAAGAATAATTTATTCCTGTTTTAAATTATGAGTAATTGATCAAGTTTTTTTGCTCTGTCACTTCCAGGCACAGTTAATTTCCACGCAATCTACATTGTAGGTACCCCTGAAGGCTAGTACAGGCTTTTAGGTGAGCGAAGGTCAGACCACACTTTCAGAAATTTTACAGATGTAAAAAACAAAACAAATCAAATCAATATTTTACAACTATCATTTTTATACAATCTTAAAGCGGGACTGCACTACTTGTAGCTACTTGCGCCCTCTATATAGCCAACAGTGGTACCTGTTGATCCCCTATGGTCCCCTTTTTCTTATGTTAATTGAGAGCTGATATGATGAGATGACCACCCGCCAGTGACCAAGCATGATGGTCTAATCCCTCCTAGCCAAACTAGTGCAGATAGGCGTTAAGTAATTTCACCTGACTTTTTTGACCCACCTCTTGAGAAACCTGAGAAGTAGTCTTTCTCTCCATGACAAAGATTTTAGCCACATTCTCATCCGGTCCAAGCTGTATTCTTCTGAGGAGCGGGAAATCAAGGGCCTTCAACTCCTGAGTACCTAGGATAAAAAAAGGGACAAGAAAAATAAAAATTATGACTGACCATAGTCATTTTCTATACTATTCCCAAAGAAAATTGTGACTGGACTTGAGCTGAGGTCGTACAACTAATGCCGCTGCATCAATCGCTTCAGGGTCAATATCCTATACAAACACATTTTTTTTTCTTCTTCTAAATGTACATATATATGCTTAGTAAGTTTTTATTTATTTTTCTATTTAATTTGATTTTGTGTTTACCTTGTTAGGGGCCTCATGTACAAGCATAAGTTGCTTCTTAGAGGTCCTGGCCTATAATTTATTCTGTATTTATGACTTATGTTTTTTTATGATGCCAAATAAACTGAACTGAATTGAATTGAACCATCATCGTTAAGCATCCATCAAGTTTTTGTCAGGCTTTGGGGGGTCTACTTGTACATGTTACTATGCAGTTCCGCAGTCTATATCGGGTTTTTTTTTTTTTTAAAGATGAAAGATCATATTTTTACGAGGCAACATTGCATTATCGTATTTCACTTGTTTTATTGTACTGGTTGGCATCTCTGCTATACTGACCCAAACTGTAACCCTAAATCTAACCTTAAACCCAATTCAAACCTTAACCCTAACCACGTATCTTTAATGAAATAAAGCTTAAGGTCAACATTGGTGAGTGAGGTTTGTTCCAGGGCTGAATTTTTGTTGAAATTACATTATGATGAGTACCATGAAAGAAATTCATAACAAGAGTCTATTTTGCCATTGAAGAAATTCAAAAGAAATATCTATATCAAAGCATTAAAGCCCCACTGTCCTACTTGTAGCTACTTGCTCCCTCTATATAGAAAACTTTCCCAATCGGTGCCTGTTGATCCCCCATGATCCTCTTTTTCTTATTTTAGTTGAGAGCTGAGTTAATGAGATAGCCACCTGTCAGTGACCTCGCTGTGTAGTATTGACGGTCTTTAAACCCCTGATGTTTCCTTAAAAGCTCTCACCACACATACGCATCTCCCAATGTTTATGATGATCTGATGCATCTTAAAACTTACCTGCACTATTTGAAACAGAAAACAAGCTGAACTCTTCCGGTGGATTCTCTACCGCAAATTTAGTAAGAAGGAGTTTGATGACCTCTTGGGTCGATTGTGTGCTGGAAGCTCGGATGTTTGAGACCGTACCATACCTCGGTCTGAAGGCCCTCGTCTGAGTGAAGCAAGAAAGGGATTGTGATAGAAGATGAGTATGAAATGGATAAAATCTGTGTAAGTGTTAGTTTCATTGACAAGAACATCTTAAAATATAAAAATAAGAAGTAGTAAGACAACAGAGCAACGGGACAACACAAAACTAAAACACATCTTTTTTCCTGACTGACTTCAACCAGATATTTGAAAAATAAGCAAGACCATAATGATTCTGAGAGCCCATACAAACACAATTTGAACTCTATGTGAAATAATAATAATTCGCTCTAACTTAGAGTACATTAGTCCTTTTCTACATTATCCATGAATTTCTATGTTATGACCACTCAAAACCTCTGTAATTTACACTCTTAAATTGTCATAGCTAAGCATTATTGTGAAATGTGAATACTTCAAATTTTTAGTCATTGGCTATAAAGTACAGTGTGTTTTGATTTATGTTTTTTTTCCAACCAGAGAGTTCTGAGGGGTGTTTCACAAAACTTGTCATCAGTGACAAATGACAGTTTTTGTTATAAGCTACTGAAATCCTTGCTTCTGATTGGTTTTAAGCAGATTGGTCACTGATTCTTGTCACTTGTCATTAAAAATAGGCTTTGTGGAACACCCCCCCCCCCCCCAGGACTTAAGGCCCTCTTTGATTTCAAATCCCAATCTGCTATTTACCTTGCTGTTATAGAGATGCCCACTGAAAGACATTGTTCTCCTCCTCAAATTTGACTTCTTTGGCATCGTTGACGAAAGCAGCTTCTGGTCAATCTCACCGTTCGGTGAACCGTTTGCTGCCTTCTCAATCTCTGCGATCACATCATGATTGTTCAGTGCATCTCTAGGCAACGAGTTGGACATTGTCAATCGATCAAACACGGCCATATTGTCCTCTTTCTTCGAAACACCATTCCTGCCTCCTTCTTCTCGCTCGTGATCGTTATCAGATCCTTCACAATCCTCTGGGATCTCCGACACGCTGTCGCGCAGTTTCGTCAGAGAGCGTCTGTTTCGCGCGCCGCTTCCCATGGCATTCATGAGCTTCTCGTCGAGTCCGTTCTCGTAGGCCAGCCTGATGCTCTTGCGCTTCCATGTAGGCTCTTCTTTCTTGAGGCGAATCACCTGCTGAGTTCCCCAGTAGAGTTTTAGGACTCCGTATACAACAGGCATCCCCTTCCTCTGTAAATCAGTAATTACAAGAAGTAAAATAAAAAACATTTATTTTATCAATTGAGTAAAATTCTGTTACCTAGGTACATGTACATGTAGTATATATTGGATGTTACAATGTTTTTGCCCTGGCTTAAGTTCAACAGTCATCATATTAAAAGAGAAAAGGAAATTTCATGGAATAGATATTACCAGATACAAATGAACATGTACTAGATCAGACATATTTGCTATCCTTTTCAGTATCCAAATATTCATTAGTTCCTAGAAAATGCAGTAAATATCCACTAGAGCACGACACCTATACACAAATACATAAAGTTTTATTAGTTTAAGTGGTCATAAAAGCATCTAAATGTAGTTAATTAGTTAGTTAATTAGTTAGTAAGTTAGTTAGTTTCAATGTGTGATATCGATGTTACTTACTTCATGAATTTGAAGCTGTTGAGACGGCCTTGAACCAGCAAAGTAAAGATTGTACTGCTTGAGATCTGAAGCAAACGATTGCCTGTGGAAATGAATTGAATTGAAACATGTACATGTAGAATATCGTAAAACTGAATATGATCTAACATGTACTGGTATTTATATCAACTCAATTCAATTTCAATTTAGTTCCATGACATGGGTGGATCCCTTTGGTTTCAAAAATTAAAAATAATGTCTTTTACACTGCGTTATAATGATACATCAATTAATTTTCAGCCAAACATTTGAGAGACCTTCTATTTCTTTTTTGCATTATTATGAACATCTTGTTTCCAAAGCTTTATACCAAAGTGTGATTTTGATTTGTAATGATTATATACTTTATCAACTTTTTTTTTAAATCGATACATTGTAAACATCGTGTAATTAGTCTCTGGACTATTATGTTGTATTTTTAATACACCATATCAAATTTATTGGAATTGAAACTGAAAATATTTAAATCCAAAAAGTTTGAAAGTAGGTACTGATACCTGATATTTTTGATAATATACATGTATGATAAGTCCAAAGTGCAAAGAAACTACTGAGGGAGCCCTTTCATCTTTTGGATAAACTAAGAAATTGCCATAACTGTAAAAATCTACTGTACAAAGGAGAGAAAAGATTAATTTAAATCACAAATGGCATAGGATGTGTTTTCATCTCCATACTCCATAACTGTTCCTCATTTGGTGGTTGAATATTGCAGCAACTTATAATTATGAGTATGTCGTTACAATCTGATTACAATCTGAAAATCTGGAGAAAAAAACAAGGGCCTTATAAATTAGTCTATGGGATTTGATTTTTGAAAATATCTAAAATCATAAAGAAAACCATTGCAACCAAAGATGGTGAATCTGACTTAAAAATGAACACTAAATGAAAGTAAATCTTTCTTCTTTGTTCGTGTGACAACGCTCCAACAAAAAATGATTTGCAGTCGATATCCTAACCTAACTGAATTTCTAACCTCAACCCTAGACCAAACACTCTAACAAACCCTAAACCTGACATTTAAGACCAAATACCAACCATAACCCTATGTCTTTGATGGGGAGGCGCAATGGCTCAGTGGAAGAGCAGTGGTCTTGTAACCAGGGGGTCCCGGGTTTGAAACTAAGTCAATGCACTCGTGCCCTTTGGTAAGGCATTGATCCTCATTACCAAGTCCCTCAGAGAAGACTTACAGCCGTCGGTCTCCTGGTTGCTTACTTACAATCATCTGCATCCTTTCTTAGCAGTCAGGTAAAATAATCTTCAATCATTATCAATCATTGAAATAAAAATTCCAGAGCAGTTGTCAGATAACCAGATTGTTTGGTTCTTTAGGTCAAGACCAGGGGAGTGTTTCACAAAGACTAAGATTTAATTTGACTTGAACTTAACTATGGCAGGCCGTTCATTGTTTGCTCTCACCATTATGATCTTTAGATATTATTTTTCCTTCAATAATGAATTATCAACAAATGTAAATTCTGTAGATTTGAGACCATGATTTGTATGTCCTTTCACAGACTAAATAAGTAAATGGTAAAGCATGAACAGCTTGCCATAGTTAAGTCCAACTTAAAGTCGATCTTAGTCTTTGTGAAACACCCCCCAGATCTGTCCTCTTCACTAACCTTGTCACATGAGACCTGTATCTCGTCTCCAGCATGTCCCCTCCTTCGTCCGTCATGTTTGCTGCCCTCTAGTGACTATAACAACAACATCTGATCCACGTTAGTGGTTAAACTTCCGTTAAAAACAGAGGTCCCAAGGTATACCCTTTAAAGAGATAAAATGAAAACTGTATGTTATTAGCATGTTTGCATACATTTAATATGCATGTATGTACACAGAATTCAACAACGAAAATAACATGATGTGACAAAATTAGTTAATAAAGAGGTCAGGAAGATAAAAAGGAAAGTAGCTATGCAGAGCAAGCTAAACATAACATTTGTTTTTTCAAATCCTGCGCTAAATGCATGTAGACAACAAAGAAAGTATATTTCATTTTGTTAATGTTTGATCATTTTGATTAAAGCTTTTCCCATGTTACAGTCAACAATTTGATATACCGGTATAGATTTATGCTATAATCATCAATGGAGATTTTCAACAATATCCCTGTTTTTTTTCTCAATTCTAATTAATTCTTGTAAGATTCCCCACTCCCCTCTTCCTTCCGCCTTTAAGTGATTAATAAAAAATACATTATAGTCTAGACTCTAGGGTAAACTTTGCAATTTAGCTAATTGTTTTGCTTAATCGAGACAGTTTGAGATCACATTTGGTTTCACCCGAAGAGGAAGATGCAACCTTGAAAATATGTTCATGAAATACCAGCATGCTTACTGCACATAACAGACAACATGTAACAGGAAGGGAAAATGTGAAATCTAATTCAGAGATGTGCTTAAAATAATCTCATCATATTGCACAATGGGAAATCTTTCATTCGTTCATTGACGTCATGTGTATCTAAACCCAGTACGGAATGAATGCAGGGAATATCTGATGATTTTCACACTATTATGAATGGTGGGAATCACATTGCGATGAATAGAATAGAAAATGATGAATAGAATATAATACAGAGGAAGAGGGAGGGAAGAGAGAAAAGACATATAAAGAGAAATTGAGAATGGGGGAGAGAGAATGTGAAATAGAAAATAAAGAGAAAGAGAAAGAGAAAAGAGAGAAAAGAGAGAAAAGAGAAGGAGAAGGAAACAGAAATGCACAAACAAATTGAAAGCTACAAAGAGGAAAGAAAAATGGAAAGATAAGGAGACTGCAATAGCGAGGGGGGAACGAAGTAAAATGTAAAGAGAGAATGAAATACAGAACACAAAGAGACAAACCAGAGGAAAAGAAGAGAAAAACAGAACAAAAATGACAGAAGATTAAGAAAGAAGGTCAAGCGCAAGAGAAGAAAGAGAAAAGGATAGGACCAAGCAAACAAGCAAGGAAGTGTTTTTAAGAGCATAAAGACCTGTTCAAGAAATTTAAAGGAATCAAGAGAAGACTTACCTGACATAGATCTCTGCGGATTAATACATGTAGGTCAACGGAGTCTGCTTGGTGTTGACTCGATCGAGTGGCATCCTTCTCCTCTTGAAGCAGCAGGGACACTGGCCTAGCTCTTAGGAAATCATTTCAGGGCCTGGGAGAGAGAAACCAAAACAAAACAAGACAAGACAATCAGAATCAGAAGAACAACGCAGGACTCGGGGTCTAGGAGGGCATCAGAAGGAGATAAGTGGCCTGTTCACATTGCTAATCAAATTGAGTTTTGAGAAAGTTATGAAGAACTCATTTTGTGTATGGATGAGCTGAGAGACCATATGAAGAGTTTAATTCCAAAAGGAGCTAAATCCATTTTTGTAACAAAGAGAAGAAAAAAAATTGTTTACCAAACTTTGTACTGACGTCTATGGAAAAATAATATTAGAAAATACATTTTTCATAATTGCTCCCAAAATTTAGGTAAATAATTTTGTTGAAATGCCGGTACTTACATGTAAGTGAACAATGTTATGATATCAATAACTCAATTTTCATCAAAAGTGGATTTAGCTTGTTCTGGAATTAAGCTCTTCATATGCAGTATATGTGTAGATAACAACAAAAACGTAAACAACGTTAAAAAAGACTCTGTAAAAGTATTTCCATAGATACAAAATGTAGCTTAAGCCTGAGAGGATCTGATCCTGGTTTAGTGGTTGGATGATCAAGTTTTTGAATGTTTGAAATTTGCTGAACAAAAACAAAACAAGCAGTGTTTTCCTTTGAAAAAATGCAAAATTTCTACCATTTCTACTGGACAGTAGTCGCTATGACAAGAGAAAACATGTATGCTTCCATATAAGAAGCACTTTGCTATTAAAAGGACTGAATATTTTACACAATATAATTCCCCCCCCCCCCCCCACGCACACACGCAGAAGTAAAAACATGCACAAAATGACAACAAATTGCATGGTTCAGCTCCAGGGTAGAGATGACAAATATTAAACTCATATTCAAATAAACAAATGATGCAAAGTTGCATTTAAATGCAGAACAAACAACAGTACAAAGTGCATTAACTGGAATACTTCCAAAAGTGCACAAACAACCTGTACCTGCATTACAAAGTCATGTTTACAAGTGTGTAGTGAATCATATATGAGTGCACATATACATCATAATGTGTCTACATGTACAAGCCTAGATGGATTCTGACAGTTGGTTTAAACGCGTAATAAATAAACATAATATGCAGCATATTACCAGAGCATACCAAGTCAGTAGGAGACTTGATACACAATCATAACCCTCTCACCTGTCTATAGCTGTGTTCACACAGAACTGATGTACTTTTAAATGTTGAGTTTAATCCTTCAAGATATAAACAACAATCCACTATGACGAGGGTTCGCACAGGATTAAAACAACGAATATTCAAAGTTAACTACAGTTGTACAACATACAACCTGGGGGAAGCATTCATTTTAACTATAAGCTGGCGCAACCTCAAAGTTAATTGCGTCTCCACGGCACATATTCATATAACCATATGAGTGAGGACCCCCTCCCTGCTTATCACCGCTATTAACCTCATAATCTGTTGTGGTTTGTGACTTTGAGTGCAGCCGCATGGTCCCGAACTACAATAGGCCTGTCCTCATCAGCTCCAGATTGCCAAATAGCCCGCTATTTCTGATTTGGGAAACAATACTGCAGATACAAATTGCGTCCTCATCAGCTCTAAACTTGACCTCTAAACTTGAAACTTGACCATGAGGAATTACCTCTAGATATTTTGCTCAGCGTTCGTGCATAGTGTGAGTCTTCAGGCCGGTGAAGCAGACCGGACAAATAGTGGGATATTTTGCAAGATATCTCGGGATGATGACCTTGACCAATAATCCCGCTAATTGCAACTTTGGGCTGATGAAGATGCAAATTAACTGGATAATTTGCGATCAGGATATAGTTCAAGTAGTGGGATATTTGGCAATCTCGAGCTGATGAGGACAGGCCTAAGGTAACTTCAAAGTTTTATACCACGACCTAATCTTGAAGTTATCATGTGAACCACGCTTATATTTGTTGGATCAAGAAGTCACTGAACCTCCTTGGGTGGATCATGTGGAACAACGGATATATACAAACATGCATCCCACCTCTGCCATCACTTTTAAGAGAGCACTATTTTTAGAATGATTTGCAGCCGCACGGTTCCGAACTTCGACCTAATCTTAAAGTTCTCATGAGGTGGTCTTCATCATCTCGAGATGGCCAAATAGCCCGCTATTTCTGATTTGGGAAATAATCCCGAAGTTACAAATCGCCGCATCTACATCAGTTTGAGATTCGCCCTTGAAACTTGAAACTCGACCTTGAGAAATTAGCTTGAGATTTTTTGCTCAGCGTTAGCGCTTAGTGCAAGTCCTAGGTCTGGTGAAGACGCACCGGATAAATAGCTGGATATTTTGCCAAATAGTGGGATATTTTGCAAACTATGCCAAGATATCTTGGGATGACAATCCCGACCAAATATCCCGCTAATTGCAACTTCGGGCTGATGAAGACGCAAATTAGCTGGATAGTTTGCGATCGGGATAGTTCAAATAGCGGGATATTTGGCAATCTCAAGCTAGTGAAGACAGGCCTATGTGAACCTCGCTTATATTTGTTGGATCAAGAAGTCACTGAACCTCCTTGGTTAGATCATGTGGAACAACAGTTGATATACAAACATGTATCCCACTGCTGCCATCACTGTTAAGGGAGCATTATTTTTAGAATGATTTGCACATGATTCTTACTACTATATGACACATTAGCATGCATCAAAAACAAGCTTTAGAGATTGAGAATGAAGAACAGTACAGTTGGTTTACACATACCTCATGGACCTCTATCGATGGTAGAATACATGTAGGCCCCAATTTAGAATCATGTGCAAATCAGCAGTTAATTAGAATCGGCAACTCAAACAAGAAATAAGTTAGATTTCCATTTTAAATAAACTCTCCAATATTTTTGTGGCTTTCCACATATGGAATATACTCTTATATTTTTTTTATCTCACTAACTACTGGTGCTTGCTATAACACAGAATGCCTAGAAAAGTGCAGTTATCAACAAAATCACACCTTTTTTTTTAAGTGTGATTTGAACTGTAATAGAAATTGTGTGACTTCAAGGTCATGTGGACAAAAAAGTGAGATTGTTATCCATGTTCACAGAGTAATTTTTGTATTCCCATATATATATACAGTGTACTGTAGCTCTGTGATGAAGTCCAACTGCACAGAAAACATTTTGGGAAAATGTACCGCGGTACCTGAATTTGTGAAGGAGCACACTTTGGAAATCATTCAAAACACTTCTAAATGTCTACCCAAGACATCAAGTCTTCTCAAAGAAAATATTCCAAAGCACCCTGACCTAAAACAGATTGTAACACACCTCGTTAATGGTTGTTTTGTCAAACAGGTGTTAGGTTGTAATTGTTTTGACTCTGTCAATTGAGCGAATCCAAATTAGCGGACATTTCCGTCTCAATGATGGGGTACAGAAGTTTAAAGCAACAAACAGACACAAACTAGTCGTGATTTAGGTCACTTGGCCCATACCAAGCATTGTCTTTTGACACCATTTCTTAGGAAGAGGATGCTGTCAGTTTGATATTATGTGAAAATATAGCACTTTAAGGGAACTTGTGATCATCTTGCAGCTCCTCATAACCTCATAATAGCTGAAATAGCTCATTTATTTACTGGTACAAGATGTAATCACAATTAATGGTGTTCGCATGACACGTACATGTACAGTATGAAACTTAAAAGGACCACCCCTACCCCCCCTACCTCCCCCCCCCCCCCCCAAAAAAAAAAAAAAAAATTACCTAAGGAAGCTTGTTCTTCCCGAGGGCCCTGCCATTATCATTACCCAAGCAATTGCCAGGTCCCAAATTTACACGTGATTGGAGAGTAGCAATTGTGGATATTTGTCTTACCAAAGGAGGTTCGTGTCAGGTCAGATTGGAACCCTCAACGCTAGGATTAAAAGTCTAGTGATTGAATCACTGTACCACGACACCTAAACTAACTCCAAAGCTTTAAACCATGAGCTAAACTTTAAGTTTAGTGACTGTCGTGTAAACCCAGCTATCATTATCAGTGATATGTGACAAGCTCTCATTAGGCCTGTTTTCATCAGCCTGAGTTTGCCAATTAACCCGCTATTTTTAGACTCCGGATACCATCCCGAAGCTCAAAATTGTGTCTCCACCAGACCGATACGCTGATCACAAAATAGCTCGGATGGGCACAAATTAGCCTGCTATTTCCCAAATAACAGGATAAATTGGCAAACAAGACCAAGATTTCTCGGGATATTTTCTCAACCGAATATCTCGCTTATTGCAACTGCAGGCTGATGAGGACGCAAATTAGCTGGTTAATTTGCGATGGGGATAGTTAAAATAGGAGGTTATCTGGCAAACTCGAGCTGATGGCCTATAGATATCAAGAATCACCCTACATCTTACCCCTGGACTCCCGTTAATTACCCATTTAGCGTAGAACTGTTTATTGCCAGATACCATCTATCTGCAGAAGTAATGAGGCCATAGCAATAGGAAAGAGACAGTTACTTGTTTCCTGCTCGACTGCTCAGCCGGGAAGCTTTATGGCTAATTCAGGAAGTCACATCCACAAGTACACTGTATATAGGTCCTTGTTGGTAACTAGTTGTGATAAACAGTACAACATTGAAACAGACTATAAAGGTATAGTACTGCCATGAACATCATAGAGTACATGTATACATTGAATGTATTTAAAGGCTCTACAGTGTATTTACACACGTACATGTAATTATACCAATCCTACAACCCAATGTACATCCAGAGTTGTTTAACTTCAGGAGTAGTTTTATCATGTGATTGAGTAAATACATTCTACACATACATGTACATGTAAATGGATATGCTTGCCATGTAGACCAATATGTGTCTTAGTTTTGAAGGATTCAAATAAATAGCCATACCGAAAGAAGACAGCAGTATAAGTAATCGAAAGTTACTTGTGAATGAAAAGCAGTAGTGAATACTTGAAACACTTCTCTTTAGAAGCAAATGACTTGTGATTACCAATTTCAATTCTCTTC